CAAGATCTCCGCTACGCGAGAGGCTTCGATGCGAGAAGCTGAGACAAAATTTCCGTTCGCGATATCTGGCAGAAAGGTACGAACGACTCAGAAGATTTCCGAATCCGCGGCGCACGATCCGTGGTTCCCCCTCGCGTCCTTCCCGTTCTTGAAATAAAGACTATATATTTCTTTGTGCAATCTGTGTTACGAGTGCTTTAATCCTCCTTCCTCCCGCGAATTTACGACTCGCGGTATCCACGCTTCTCGCTCAACTCTGAGCGGAATTCAGCTTCAGGGCGAACGTCGTAAAGCGACGCCCGAACATATTGGTCCTTCGAGCCGGATAGAAGCGTGTGGAGGGTCGAGTGTGTGACAAGTGTGCATATTCGTCACCATGTCCGAGCATCTCGGGAAACAGTTGCAGCTTCAACGCTCGATCGAGCGGCATCTCGAAAATTTCAAGAAAATCGGGAAGGGGAACTTAACCCCGGCGAAGGTGCGTTCCCGCATTCAATCTCTAAAGGAGCTCTGGGCTCCGTTCTTCGACGGCCACGCAGATCTCCTGCATCGGATTCCTGAATCGAGCCGAGCAACCCTGAGCTACTTCCAGGACAACGCCTTTGACACGACTCTCGCAACCTATCACCATGCCCTCGACTACCTGACGGAGTGCCTGGAGGAATTGGAGCCGGTCGTGAGTCCGAACCCTATTTTCTCGAGTTCGCGATCGAACTTAACGGTACCGGCGTTCTCTCTCTCACATCTGCCTCCGATTAAATTGCCTCCGTTCGACGGCAACCACGACGACTGGGAGACGTTTCGCGATAGATTCACCGCGTTAATTAAGAATAACAAAGATCTCGATGATTTCGCGCGCATGCATTTTCTCGCTTCATGTTTGAAGGGTCGCGCAGCCGAGTGCATTGCAAATATCTCGATTACCGCGGATAATTTCGCCATTGCCTGGCAAGCTCTCATCGCGCGGTACGAGAACAAACGAAGGTCTCTTAATTTGCATCTTTCTACTTTGCTTGAGTTACCGAAAATCACGCGCGAGTCTGCTTCGGATTTACAGACATTGTACAATAAAGTCGAAACCGCGGTAGCTTCTCTTCAAAATCTAAAGCGCCGACCGGATGAATTGTGGAACGATGTTCTCGTTCACCTCATCGTACATAAATTAGATCCGATAACGCGTAAAGCGTGGAATGTAAAATCGAGCGATACCGATGATCTGCAATCATACGACGACCTTCGTCGGTTTCTCAAATCTCGTACCCGCGCGCTCGAAGACTGTGCGATCGGTTCCTCAAGCAAAACCGCGTCGAAATCTGCGGACTCTGCGCGAGTGCACGCCGCGAACGCCTCCGCCAACGACTCGACTCCGTGTCCTTTATGTAAAGCGTCGCACTTCATAAATCTGTGTCCATCGTTTATAAGCAAGAATGCGAGTCAGCGTCGAGAGCTCATTAAACAACACAAAAGGTGTTTTAATTGCTTAAGTACCAAACACTCCGTGCAGGATTGCAAAAGTAAATATTCTTGTCGCGTATGTCATAAAAGGCATCACTCTCTGCTGCATTCTGACTCGGATTCTGGCTTCAGTGCCACAGGCGCTGTTTCTAGCGACAGTTCGTCCTCAAAGGACAATGCGGCGATTAACTGCTCGTCGCCTCAGGCCTCTGACTCGAAATCGGAGGTCAACTCTCTTTTCGCGGCTGCGAAAAATCGTTCGCCGATTCTATTGGCGACAGCGTGGATCACGGTCCGCAGTTCGTCCGGCCGTACCGCCGTCGTCAGAGCGTTACTCGACCAAGGCTCCGAGATGACGTTCATCTCGGAGAACTTGGCGCAAACCTTGCGAGTCAAACGGATTCGCATGCCGATCTCGATTTCCGCCGTCGGCGGAATTAACGCCGGGACATTTCAAAACGCGACGCGCATATTCATTTCGCCGCGCGCGTCCCTCGTCCCGTCCCTCTCGACCACGGCGCTCATTCTCCCGTCCGTAACCTCCTACATTCCGAAACGCAACGCGGATATTTCGTCCATCTCATATCTCTCCGACTTACCGCTAGCCGACACGGATCCGACGAGTCGCGATCCCATCAGTCTCATTATTGGAGCGGATCTCTATAATGAGATTATTCTCGACGGCGTGCGTAAGGGGGGGATCGGGCAACCTATCGCGCAAAATTCTATATTCGGCTGGGTCATCTCCGGACCCTTCAGTTCAGTTGCGTTTCCTGAACAGTCCTCAGCGAAAGTTCCTCGAATCTCAACGCATCATATTTGCTCTCTCTCGCTGGAGAAAGAACTCCGCCGGTTCTGGGAAATCGAGGAGCTTCCGCAGCGATCCGCTCTTACCCAAGAAGAGAAGGATTGCGAAGAGCATTTCCGCTCGACTCATTCTCGAAATTCGGAGGGACAATACGTCGTGCGTCTCCCATTTAAGAAAGGCCCTCCTATCGAAATCGGGGAGTCTCGGGTTCAAGCCGAGAAAATGTTAAATTCGCTAACTCGTCGACTTCGTGACAAACCGGAAGTTATGAAAGACTATCACAATTTTCTCGACGAGTACGACCGTCTCGGACACATGCGACCGTTATCTCCCGCGCAAGACAACGAACAAAGCGTCTATCTTCCACACCACGGGGTGATTCGGGAAGATAGCGTTACCACGCGTCTCCGCGTCGTGTTCAACGCGTCAAGCGTCACCTCTAACAATACCTCTCTCAACGACCACTTGCATATTGGTCCGAAAAAGCAAACCGATATTTCCGCAATAATTGCGCGGTGGCGCAGATACAAATACGTTTATTCGGCAGATATCGCAAAAATGTATCGCCAAATTCTCGTCGATTCTCGCGATATAAATTACCAAAGAATTTTATGGAGACGGTCTCCTCACGACGCAATAATTATTTTCCTGTTGCTAACCGTGACTTATGGCCAAGCCTGCGCGCCCTTTCTTGCCCTTGCCGTTCTCGAGCAGTTAACTATCGACGAGGGTAAACACTTTCCCCTCGCCATCCCGATTCTCAGAGAACATATTTACATCGACGATGCCGTATTCGGAGCTGACGACAAGCCTCATATTCGACAAATTCGAGATCAGTTAGTTGCCTTATTAAAACGCGGCGGGTTCGAGTTAAAGAAATGGGCAAGTAACTCCCCCTCTCTTCTAGACGATATTGACGTCGCGGATCATGGGCTAGCCGGTCAAAAGCCCTTCGCGCAAGACGAACAGCTCAAAATTCTCGGTATCGGGTGGAACCCTTCTAAAGATGTTTTCGAATATCGCGTCGCGCTTTCGGAGAAAGTTCCCGATACCAAACGTACTATATTGTCCGCTGTCGCGAAACTTTACGATCCGTTGGGCTGGGCCACACCTGTCACGATCGCCGCGAAAATCCTCATGCAAAGGCTCTGGCAACTTAATATCCAGTGGGATGAGCTTCTTTCCGAATCGGTTTTCGCGAGATGGAACGATATATATTCACGTTTATCAGCTCTCGGTCACGTGCAAATTCCTCGTTGGAACGGCCTCGGGCCTGATGCCGAACGTTCCGAAATACACGGTTTCGCGGACGCTTCGAATCATGCTTACGCCGCCGTTGTCTATATAAAAGTAGTGTCTTCGTCGGGCAAAGTCACTATATCGCTGCTCGTTGGTAAATCTAAGGTCGCTCCTTTGAAAACAATAAGCATACCTCGACTCGAATTATGTGCGGCCTTGCTTCTAGCGCGACTTATTGATTTTGTTCGAGCCTTAAACGGTTATCAAAATCTTCCGTATTATTGTTGGACGGATTCCAA